GTTTTTTCGCAAGCTCTCAGACAAGCACTGAGCATACAGTGCTTATTAATATACGTTGGGTAAGGGCAAAACCTGTTTTATATAATCAGCGGTTTGAAACAAGTTGTGGGACGGGACGCTTGACTACGCCCCATCTGTTTCACAACCACGAAACCCCTTTGTACACTTTGATCGCCACCGAAATTTTTTGGTGGTGATCTGCATCCTTCAAACTTTGTGTACTTAAGGTATAGGAAATTGAATATTCATGCCATCGTTGGTGATTGCTATGATCTCATGACATCGAATTCAATGCTTGCACAGTTGCCTGAATTGCGCCGTGTGGCCTAAACGCACATGTGCAGTCATTGCCCTTATAGTGAACGCTTTCTTATGGGGACGTTTTGGGAATAGTTTTTCCCGTTGTAAACAAGTTTTTTTGTTTTGTTTGAATGATTTTTAACATGGCATTTGTACAAAGGCGTATTTTACGATATTTCATGATCACTTCCTCTGATGAAATAGCGCATTTTGTTCTTTTTGAACTTAGCTTTGTAGCAGTAGTCAACATTTTGTTGGCCAGTCTTAGCCAAATTCGCACCTAGTCTTTGAAAACCGATGTATTGGACGGAAGGGAATAAAATTGCAAACTTTCCATTGATAGTGGAACAGTGTATGAACATTTTAAAAAGTTTATTCACAATGGCAAAAGTAGGTCTCATATCAGGGGTTTTCACAGCAATAATTTGTATTTAATTGCAAGCAAACCACTTCAAGCATGCTAGGATATTACTGGCCCCACTTGTCTGGCTAAGATGCAGACAGTAATGGGGCAATTTTGGAATTTGTTCTCTTATTGGTCCAACTCGGAGAACTTTGCCATAGAGGTCATTTGAGAAGTTTGTGGTAGCGAAAGCACAAATGCCTTGCCGCAATTCGCATTTGAGTATCAGTTGACAGCTTGCGTTATTTGTTTTGACAGATGAGGACATTCCTTGAGATAGAAACATGAAAGGATTGATTAAATTAGTTGCTTGAAATACGCCAACTAATCTTCATTCCTTGTAAATCAAACGCCGGGAAAAATTTGCTGACCTCATTTTTCGAAGGTGTACGGTGGAAAATGCTTTCCATGGCAACCTATTCGTGGAGCACTGCTTTGTTAATCTTTTTTATCATTCCAACCCAACCATGGCGTCCAACTAAAGACTGGGTAATTACATTAATAACGTTTTTCACTTGTTGTTTGATGTCATGTTATGATCGTGAAGCTGGGGGGGCTATAAGATCATTGTGTACATCACAGTAATGAGTACATACATCGAGTCGTTCATTTACTATTCACTTCATCCGATTTAAATATTTTACCATGCATCAAAAAAACGTTACTGAACATTTGCTCAAATGTACAAAGAAGCTTGACAACTACTGATCTTACGTGAAAGGTTGTTAATTGTTTCGGAAAGATCTGTCAATACATAATATATACAGCATTTAAGCAAGCAGATGTACACGCTTTGAGACAGTATTAAGGCATTGAACTTCGTATAACGATCGGTCGACGCTTATAACCCAATCCTAGATTACATTTTAGAAGCGTTTTTGTTTTAAAAATACCCTGTGTTAATTAACAGGGTAGCCTTGCTATATGCAATTCTTTTTATAAGTAAACCTATTAAATCCAAGTTTTAGTTCTTTAACTAAAAGATTTCGGTTAATGCACTGGCATAGCTTTAAGTCTGTTTTGACATTTTTCTAATATGTTGCCAACATATATATATATACATGTACATATACAATTGTATCACAATTTGTTTCTCTTTTGAAATAATTCGCCGCGTTTTGGACACAACTGTACACAAGTATAATTTTTATATTCTCGATGTCAAAAGGAGTAATATCGCAACGTAGTTTACGAAATAACTTATGAAAGGCATACATCTGGAACACGAAACTATTAGTTTCAAACCACTGAACACGGGCATAATCATTAATTTTAATATACCACTGGGGGTGCGAAAAAGTGAATTTAAACAAGGTCTGTAACTTAACTTTACCAAAAAAGGATATTATTAGGGGCAATATTTTTGCCTTGTTGATTCTCAACCCATACAAAATTGCCATGAATGAACTTTACCTCTTCTCACGTTTGACATTATTCTTTAAAAGTTAGATATTATTTCATGGGCGCAAACACTGACTGGTTTAAATTCTTTGCGCGCATGCTAATGAGATGCAGCAACTAACTCAGCCAATCCCGAACTGAGGGAGAGATAGGATGACCACGTCTTGGTCGGGGCGGAGCATACTCATCTCTGCCTCCCTCCCGCAGGCCAATCGTCCCCTGCCCTTCTTCCCCTACCCAAGGGGATGGGTCTAAGGGTGGGTCCTCGACTGGACAGGGGTGCAAGTAGTGGTTGATGTCTGCGTACTGAGTAGGGGGCTCGGTGCGTATGGGAGGCGCGTCCGGTGGGTGTGTCCGGCTGTGGTGGACATCGATGTAGGTAACAACGCCCTTTAAATTGGCAGCATTAAAAAAAAGGTGACTGCGTGCAAATATCACTTGTAAGAAGCGTTATTATTTTTTAACCATACTGGGAACAACATCCGTTAAAGGTTTCTAAAGCTTTGAACTCATACTCCTACGCATTTGTTACGGCCTTTTCCTTTTCAGAAATCGTCGGCTTCATTACTTGATAATTATGTCAGTTGCCATAGCCCGTGCTGAGATTATTTGACAAAAACTCCTACCAAAATTCACCCCTATTGAAGCACGCGGCTAAGTCCCAGCTCTCATTTTAGTAACATCTCAAACTATCTTCCATTTTTATATATTTATAAACACTGTATACTCAGTGCTTGTTCAAGAGCTTCCGCAAGCTCAGGGACAAGCACTGGGTATTGTTCTAAATTTGCATCAAATTTTTGTTCGCCATGGAAATGTAGGAATTGGTGATATACCCCCATCCTCTAGGATTGCCAATACACTTTGTATTTACAGTTATAAAACTTCAAAAGAATAATACACTACCATAATCGAACTGTACCTATAGCTTTAAATATTTTGAGTAAATAAGCCTGTTAAGCACATTTAAGCTGACAAAAATGTGTGCTATTACTCAAACGTTTTTGCAGAAATGTTTTCGGGCCTGTTTCTTTTTATAATCTGAAGGAAAGAGAAATGATAACTTCTTGAGTTCATAATTATGGACTGACCTGTGACCGACTAGTGACCAAATATATGATATTACATTTTCGTTGTATTCACGTTTCGATCTATTGTGTACCAAACAGTATATGCTAATACACTTAACATGAACATATTCAAATGGCAAGCGACCGTAATTATGGGTCATGAAAAAGACCAACAAACATTATGTAGCAGATATCTGTCACAAACCTCTCGTTGGTTTGTTGGTCGTTGCCTACTTGTAGAAGGGACATCACTCTGCCTTCCCGAGCCACGGCTTACAGAAGGCTCCGCTACGTCATTTCATAAAGACAAACAATCGAAATTTCTAATATTACTTCTGGAATAAAAAACAGTTAAATTGTTTAAAATACTTTATTGGATCACAAATCCCCAAAGTAACAAACTGAGAGGATACTCTAGGTTTCTGCAATAATGTGTAGGCGCAGTCCCATTCATAACATCCATGAACACATTACCCAATTAAAGCGATGCACCTCTTACGATGCCCACAAATGTCGCTTTGATCATGTTCTCCACTATTTCTTGCAGGCAGTGTGTCTTCAGTACTACTGGCGTGTCATTTTCTTTAAACTGGATATCGTTCATTGAGTTTAACCAACACCCTCGGCTAGTGAAATTTATTTCGAATTTTCTTTATATCTCACGACTCAAGAGTGTTCTGGTGAGTATGACAGCCATGTAAATGTCAATCTGTCCACCTGTGTTGCAATCAGTTGCTCTGTGCTTGAAAGAAAGAATGCTTGAATTTGTTACCGGGTCTATAGCGCTGAACGCTCCTGGTGACTGGATGACCATCGCCGTTAGAGGGCGATGTTGGAAGTGCTGGGTGGCTGTTCAGACGTAGGAAAGAGCCATTCTCTTCGTAGATATTAGCTACGAGAAAAAAAAGATCAAGAGAAATGACATTAGGGAGTGAAGTATAAAATTATCAGTGGGAGAGAGGGCGGTTTGCGCCAGGAATGATTTTCACAATTCATTCCTGAGGCGAATCCAGGAGTTTTTGATGGGGGGGGGGTTCGAATTGTTTTCGGACAGAGACGGAGGGATTACTGTTTCAATCGGCGTTGTTGATTCCAGTTCTATCTCTTTGATTTGTTCTTAACCGAACACGGAAAAGGGACCCTACTAGGCTCATTCCTTGTAGGGGGGTTGCAACCTGTAGACGTAGGTAGAAAGGGGTCCATAGCCCCCTTGGATCCTAGTTTGGATTGCCATGCCAACGCATGAGATTCTTATTAGGTGTTGCGCGAGTTATTTCAAGTCGTTACCTGACGATTCTATGGCGGTTGTCACAGGAGGATTGGCTGCCGCCGCGGGTCCGTTGGCATCGATCTGGTTGAACTGCACAGTGACCCTGAAATATAAATTTATGATAATTGGCTCCTGCATGTTAGTTCAGAGGAAACAAAAACAGTTTTCACCGAGGATTTTAATTATTGCAGCATATGTCATTATTGCTGCATATGTCAATAGTACGAAAGCGTATAGGCCTATAGCACATGACCAAAGATCGTATAGCGCCGCGACGCGGCGCAAGATGGCGAACTTCACCGTGTATACACCACGGACGTCATATAAAAAAAATGTTTTATATGACGTCCGTGGTATACACGTAAAACAGTGTAATCGCATGGCGCCATTTGAGCAAGCGATACGCCTGCGCAATGCCCAATAGTGCACAGACGCAGGCCCTGTGGCAGCCATGTGCACCTGGTGAGCCTGCGCCCAACATTACTGTAAACTGCGCAGGCGTATCGCTAGCTCAAATGGCGCATATGGTAATTACATCGTTTTGGACAGAGTTGTCCTATACGATCTTTGGACTTGACTGAAAAAAAATGGGCCTGCTATTTCGCCTGGGGGGATTTGTATTTTGCCTGGGGGGATTTGTATTTCGCCCGGGCGGATTACTATTTCACCCAGGCGGATTACTATTTCGCCTGGGGAGTAGCGTAGATTTGTGTGTCAGAATGCGGGATGGTTTCCTGGGGGGGGTTGACTCAGACCGTTCCGACATTTTTGTTCGCCATTCTGTCTAAGATGCAAAGTTACTCAAAAAGTGCACCCTCACTCCTGCATTTAGCAAAGGCAGAGATGTTCTCCTAATTAATTACCTTTTCCCAGCAGATTAAGTTAACAGGAATGTCAATATAACCATTTTAAAATTACCCTTATGAATCTATCAAACATTTTAGTCATAAAACCTGAAGAAACGCGCATCAGTTCTCTACTCTGATCGGGCGCGGGCTCAGAGTCTTGCCATTCCCCTGAAAAACTACAGACTTTTTTAGACTATGAAAAGAGCTGTTTCCTTGCATATTATTCTCTTTTTAGAGAAACGGAGAGAGTTTAACTTAGGCTAGTTAATCACATTATATTACATACACTTTTTATTTGCAGAAGGGAGGCAGTTTCAAAAAAAAAAAATAAAGGTAATTGTTTATAAGGAAAGGAAACACTTTAAATTGATGCTACTGATATTTAGAGGGACAGGAGTTGACGGCATCAAGAAATTTATAAGAATTAAACTTCTGGACCTTCAGGATCTTTTTAATACTTACGGTAATTTTAATGTAGTAATTGATAACTTAAATGGCAATTAAATGTCAATTGGTGCTTTTAGTTTTTCTTTGTTCTTTTGTAATGAACTTGTTTAGTTTATGGAGTCCCCAGGAAATAGGCATGCATGTTCAGGTCTATTAAATCAACCCACTTTGTTTAATGTTTAGTTTTTCTTTCTAAATGTATGCATCGATTTCGTCTGAGTAAAATCAGCATTATTTTAGGCGGCCATGGTGGAACGAATCTACTTCTTGGATATTAAGTCTTTGACGCACCGAAACAAGCTATGTACATATTGTTTAAGAACCTTTCGTTTCTCCTAAAAAGGGAAACTTATTAGTGACAGAGAGCAAGTTTCAAATCGAGACTGACTTGGCATCGTAACGCATGGGTAAATGTGCGTCGCAGGGGGGGAGAGGGCACTTGCCTTCCCGCAAAAAAATAATGAAAATAGTAAAACGCTAAAGATGTAACAAAAATAGGTTAAAGGAAATAAAAAACACTATACCTAGCTTTAAATATAAAGGCTATTTTTTCCTGTTTTCTCCTTTGTTCTTGCCCCCCCATTTAACCGTTTTCCCTCAATAGTTTACAGTTGGAGGAACAACTGCGTCCCCTTGAAGTTCAGGATCGGTTCGTAGTTTAGTGCTATGTGCCCTCATGAAAACCCCTTTCCCCACTTAGACATACGGTGGCGTATTCAGTGTCAGGGACACGGGAACAGATTCACCCCCAACCATTTTGTAACAATGTTTAAAGCCATTCTTTTTCCTTATAATTTCAAAAAGGAATTCATGCGAACATAACTTCACTCTTAACCAAAAAAGTATGGGGGACCACTTACAGCCAAGGGGGCGGATTCCCCCCCCCCCCTTGCAGAACTAGGCCATCCCTTACGCGATTTTAAAGAAACTCTGCATGTATGTTAAGATGATCATAATCAATACACGTAATCAATAGATTAGTACGTTTTCAGTTCAACTGAGATGTTGCTGATTTGGGGCCACGCGTTTGCCAGCGTGTGCTAGCAACGTGTGCGCACGAATCCTTGGTGCACCACTTCGTGTATGCATTTGAAGCAAGGAAGAAGGGAAACCGTCGAAGGACTCAGTACTAATTCTGCTCATTATTTCGGTCGTGAAGTTACGGTTGCTTTGTTCACGTTTTGCACCTGCGTAGGCCTACCCTGATTCCTAGCGGCGCTCTCACATAACACTTAGCAGCATCTAAAGCTATGCAATCACGAGACGTCTTCCATTTTTTAGTTACATGCATTGAAACCCTTTAAACTGTCTTAACGATTTTACATTATGACTCCGCCTCAAGTTATATCCCATGCGCCCGTTCACGTACTCAGCATTAGTCTCTTTTCATGCGCGAATTGGCACCACCACAGAAAAAAAAACCTAGGGTACGGTGTAAATAAAAAATGCCCGCCCAGCGAAATAGCAGGCCCAATTTTTTTTCAGTCATGTCCTGTAGACGCTTCCGTAAAATAGTTGGTTGCCCTTCCTTTTACATTTCACCCGATCATGACTCTATGCAGAAAGGAAGTCTAGAATAAACAGAAACGGAAACCCTAGTCTTACTAGCTCCCTTGGTATGGTTGTCAAAGGGGAAAGCCCAAGCGATTAATTTACTTACCGATTTGCATGGGATGAACTGTTACCTGCAAGATTCCAAAAGTAAATGGAAACATGAAACAAAATTACGGAATAACAAGCAATTAATATTTCAAAGTTGTATAACTGTTCATGTGAAAACCACCATTCTAAGATTCTTACTCGCCACACGCGGAGCTGTTAAAGTCAAATACATTATCCAAAAAGAAAATTTTAAAATTTCAGGTAAAACTGTAAAGCACTTGATCTAGAACAATATACATGAACACCACATGGAAAGGTATGACATCGATCGTAACATGGAAAAATTTAAGCAATGATTTTCTACCAGCTTGGATACCAGTGGGCCTACCGTAAAAATAAATCTAGAAGCAGTACAAGTACATGTATACCGAAAGAGTATAGTTCTAAAACAATGGTCCAAGAGGGCGCAATCATAGGTAAGATGGCTTGCTAAAGTGGGGCAGCCTGCAGTAAATTTGCATCTATCTGCTAGTACACTCACCGTACATCATATGCCAGGTCTATGGTCACGGAAATAGCTGAAATATGAGGCATACAGAGAGCTTGCAAGGTGCACCCTTGCTAGACAGCACGTACTGGTAGGCCATGTGATACAATGACCACGCTATGCTGAGTACAAAAGCGTCTATACGCACGGACATTACACCCATAGTGATAGCCTGCAAGTTACCTCGACCTGATGGTTCACCGGGTTTGTACATGTTCGTCCTACCACAGCCCATGTATTACACTCGAAGCAGAAAAAAAAACCAGATGTAATATTAATGCATAACGCTAGGTGGTAAAAAGAAGATCAATTGATTTAAACGTACGTTTTCGGTGCTTCCACACGATAATCGTCACGATGAACACTACAAGAAGTGCAACTGTGACAGCAATAACTATCAGGGTTGACTGTAAGGCTGATCCGTCTAAAAATATATATACAGTAATTGCAGAGAACAATACAAGTTATCTTTAGTGAAACTGGTTACAGAATATATTTCGACGAATAACCTCCTTCCATGAAAATTCGAGTAAAATGCAGATCCATTAGATGCAGAATTTTTGTTCGAATTCGTCTTGTCCCTAATTTCAGTCGGAGGGAGTGAATATTCACTCTTTCAAATTTAAAGAGTGCCTGATCATGATTTATTTAGTATCTCCAGGGTCATGGGGCTAAGAAACTTCAATTTGGGAAAGACATAATGACCCTTTTATAGCTAAAGCTGGATTACATAAACTAAAATTGAAAACATGGTCTTTAGAGGCATCAAGTCAGTTTAGGCCTTCTGCAAAGCATCTTTGAGTTGAAATTCCCAACTTAACTGGATTTCTTGTCCAGTTTCTGACACGTACTGTTTACGACTCTTTCCTTCTTTCTCAAAATATGGCTAATTTTCCCTATAATGCCATACCGGTCCATTATAATATCCCCATGAAAAGATTGTTATACGAGAGAATAGTAGATCTTCAGTGGAATTGTTTGGCTTTCAGGATGCAGCAAGGCAAAATCTTGACACACCTTATAATTATGTTTTATTCCAAGGCTAACTCGTGACAAACACACTCTTGTGGTCGTCAGATACGTATTCCGCCACTTGTTTAAATTAAAAGCACATTTCGCTCTATTTACAGAGTTTTTCAAACATCTTGATTGTAAGGGCTCCATTTATAATGCTGTTTGTTTTGGTACGTAATTTCATTTTCCTTGTGAAAATAAAAGTAAGCTGCGCCGGAAACGACATACGAGTAAAAATAAAACAGTGGCTTTGGGTCATGCGTAGGTGTTGGAATACCAGGCATTATCATGCGGAAATAACGAAAAGGTATCAGTGCGTGTGGCATGGATACGAAAAACAAGTAAAGCAATGAGAAAAAGAAAGTGAATATACATCTCCAGTTTTACAAAACAGAACTGAGCCAAGAAAAATGACAACTAAACGATCATTTGAAAGAAAGAAATAAATTTAAAAAGCAAGTTCGTCTGAATAGCTGAAAATAAACTCACTTGGCGTTCTGATTGTAGAATCTGGGGAATTTCTTGACGGCTGAGCAGTTGACTTCTCTCTCCTCACATCTTACGATGTTTTAGTCAGGTTAAATCACACAGTTTATCAAATGAAATAATGAGTAACTTTTTTGTTTCACTTTGCAGGCATTTCAATAGGGAAAATTACATATTCAGAAAATCCATGTTGAAAAACCTAAGCATTACGCTGTTCAACGCTGATGAGCCTATGCAATTGATTGTTCCCCTAAACTTACAAAAAGTTCTTTCCACACTTTAGATTTTCATCAGTTTTACCGTTTCATCATGGAAATCTCAAAACAATAATCTGCTCTGAATAATGTCAACATGTATTTTGGTAGCAAATGTACAGATGTCATTCGTTAGCATCTACGTATTATTTTACAAAGTTCTTTGCTAGCCATGTGCTATATTATTCAGTGATATTTTCTTTGGAAAATGAATATTTACAGACCGCATTTTTTATGTTAATTCTTTCAAGCCTTTTCAGCGTTACAAAGCAAAGACAGTGAAGACGACTATTATAAGAAAGGATTATTCGTGCAAGCTTTTCTGCTCTAACACGCAGATTGTAAAGGCCTATTTTATCGATCACTATGGGTGAAAGATATTAATAAGTCACGATGAACCAGAAATCAAACAGGAGCCAACACTGTCAGACTTTAATAAGAAGTATGTCAGATCTTTGGGCTTCAAGGTTTTTTTTCCTACTTCGTCCATGGAGCAATGAATGGCGCATTCTGCCTGAATCACCACGGTATCCGAACTATCTCCCCAAATGTGTTTGAAAATGGCATATTTTTGACTTGTTCGTTCTTTTTATTTTACATGTTTGTATTTCCGTGTAATATACCGTTGTTTATAATGCTCTCTTCAGCATTTGGCTTTTTAAAGTTTACTTAATTTAACGCTACCTTTTTGTAGGTCACTCTATATGAGGGTCTATTTCACCGTTTTTATTTAATTTTAAGAATGTAAGGTTATTCGGAGTCTAATTTATTGCTGCCTTTCATAACACATTGATTTATTTCAATAATTTTTTAGTTCAGCGAGTTTATTTTTTTTAAAAACACTCTCATCAAGGAAATGGTTCATGATAGACTGTACAGTCCTATCAACAACCTCTGACATACATTGATTTATTTTAATAATTTTTTAGTTCGGCGAGTTTATTTAAAAAAAACACTTTCATCAAGGAAATGGTTCATGATAGACTGTACACTCCTATCCACAACCTCTGACATACCACAATGTATAAGTAAAATAAATCAGTGAAGACAAATAAATATATAAGTCGGCAAGTGTAAATGGAAGGTATCTGACACATAATGAGCGAATCTCGAATTTCGTTTTCCAGTTCTATCATTCATACAACAAGGGCAAGCGGGAAATTAGCTGATAATTTGTGAAATTCAACGAGCCCATACTGACAAAATCAACTGAAATATTACCTGATTGTTGACCAATCAAGCGAAGTGTCACAGCAACCCTTCGTCCAGACCCAGTGGCTGTACACGTGAGGTTCTCTCGTTGTCCACTCTGCACGGGCGGTACGGTAATCGTGCTACTCGTGTTAAATAATCTGGATCCGACTACTTCTTCATTGCTCTCCATGCCTGCAGTCTTTCCATTGATTGTCCATGTTATTTCTGCCGCCGGTTTGGTGTCCGTGGCCAAGCAGGTGAACATTTGGCTGCTGGTTTGTGGGATGTGCGAGTGGTTGCCCCGTACAATTCCAGTTGTCTCGTCGATGATGTACACAGACTGTGGTGGTACTGTAAGGGAATAATGCAGCTGATATTAGAACAGAAACACCCAAGGAACCGAGATAATGAGACAAAACTAACAAAACTAAGAGAGGGCACAGAATCAAACGAACAATACTGGAAAGCCGTCCACCTCAGCAATGCTAAGTGTATTCGATGCAACTGGTACTGTGCCAAGAGTTTCAAGCAAGCATCTCACGTTTTCTGCGCTCTTCTGATTGCCTGTTGATGTACAGTTATTGCCTATGTTGTCAGCGCCTATTTTGAGGAGAGATATGGGTTGTCATAAAATGTGACAACGTGGAAAGCACATTCAGTATTTTCACCCACCTGCTACTGTCAGCGTTGTACTTTTCCACACCGTTGTGAGCGAGTAACGAACCTCACACTTGTATCTTCCCTCGTCGGTTAATTGAAGATTATCAATCGTCAAATTGCAGCCATGGTTGTCGTAGTCGAAGGTATATTTCTGCTCGTCGAGGACATCTTGTAAAATCGTGCCATCTACCAACCATGTAAAGTTGATGTTTGGAAAGCCGAGAGGAACATTTTTGACGAAACATCCCAAGGTAGCACTTTCTCCTATTCTACTCAACAAGGGAGTAGTCTCTGCTAATTCGATTCCTGCACAAAAATAATAAAAACACGTCTAGAGAAATCATAACGAAACTAGCACAATGGTGACTAAGGTAATGTCTCAGTGATTCCCTCATTTATGTATAAAGTGGATTCTACAATGCATTAATCCAGTTCATAGTTCACCCAAAGTCTTTTAATTCTTTATCTGAAAATGAGCTTCTCGTAATTTAAGAGTAAACTGTGTAACTACACTTCTTCGTCTTACTCCTTTGTCAAGTTTACCTTTCTCATCTTTATTGAATAAAATAGTAGCATGTGATGTTCCTTAAAATACAATAGTGACGAAACACAAAAGTAAACAATTTCCACTTGACATAATTTGAAGCGACATTGCAGGGTAAGAAACAATATTATATTCAAATTCCCCATTCCTTCATTTATTTTAAATGCATAAATTACATTAAATTGCAAAAAATAAAATCATTTCCAAGGATGGATTTGCGATGGGGAGATATTAATTAATATTGAGATTTTTGCCCTGCCCGACGTGTATGATAACACTGTATACTCAGTTTTTCCCTCGGAAGGCATTAGGGCAATCGAGTGGTTAAGACATCTGCACTAACGAGTACGCTTGTGTTTTTTTTCACACGCCTTTGTGGGCAATCACTGAGTATACAGTCTTGAAACACACACCGGACAGAGCAAAACTCCAAATATTAGCTAAGAAAGTTAATGTTTTACTCCATGCCATGACGTGACGTCCTTTTTACTTACTCTGAAAGACAATGAGTGTGAAGTTACTTATTCTGATTCCTCCTGCTGAAGACACATGACAAGCAAACGCAGCGTTGTTCAGCGACATTGAAATGTTTGGAATGGTTAGGACTCCGTTTGTGCTGTTCAGCTTATATGGACTTCTCAGATGCTGAGCAATTCGTAATGACTGCCTGATTTTTGAGCCACTCGATGTCTGCACCAGTGCCGTTGAGGCACAGTGGCATCGTCATGCCGTTAGCTACAGCTGCTTCACATTCCAGCTTTACATCCTCTCCCTGAACCACCGTCACAATCGTTTCTAATAAAAGAAATAGTACAAACATCAGTCTTATGACCCTTGGATTTCATTTTGGTTAAGAGGATTCACTTTGTGAAAATCGCGATCATGTTCTTACCAAAAGATTGCTCTCCAAGGAACATCAGTGAAAGTAAAGTTCATAGTTTCTCCGTGGGAGCTACTGTAAACTGCCCCCTGTTCACGATTTAGTGTACCTTGTGTTTAGACCTACGATTTCTAAGAACCTGCAGAGCCTCTGACTAGCTACATACCGTCCAGTTTTTATTTTGTAGTTGGCTGGTCAAGTATGGATCATTTATAAAAAGTATAAATGACATATTTGGCTACTTTCACTTACCACATGAAGTGGTAAAACGTGAAATCCATCAAGCACACAACGACCAATGCGTACAGCTGCCTCATGTCAGAGGAGGAAATCAGTTGTCAAATTTGTGAGACAAACGTGTTATGAGACAAGCTTCGTGTGATACAAGCGTTATAGGGAAAACGAAATTCAAAGTGAAATCCAAAGTACTGGAGATTCATTTGATTACGTGCATCACCGAATTTGGAGACACTCGATTCGGGGTGAAAAGGATCCGAATCGCCATAGAATACTTATACTCGATACAGAGTATAAGTAAACAACCATGAAATTCGATATTTGGACTCAGTAAGTTCGAAACCACGTGCATTGGCCAGCGTATCCGGTACATGATAATACACAATTTGTATTGATTTCCTTTTCAAGTTGATATCTGTTGGCCTGTATGGACGGAAATACTAAACATGTACGTCCAGAACAGGTCTCTCTCCTATTTAAATGTACCATTCCAGTTACGGATATTCCATCTGGTGCATTGGTTGTTTCAAAGTGTTAATTCCAAATGTTTGTGCCCAATAACACTGTAGTATTCCGTATGCATTTAGCCATACATTATCCAGTCCAACCTTTTTTCAGTGTTTACATGTAAACTGATAATCATTATACAGTTATCATTGAACTATGGGGTTTGTTTATTCTTTGGGGTGTATGAAGTATGTCCCTCATAAGTAAAGAATGAGCCAACCGAAACACTCTCTTTGTTCACCCAAAGTGAAAGTGCGGCATTCAGTTCTGCACCAAACATCTGTTAATTAATCTAATTGATCTAACACAAAGCACTAGACGCTTTGCATGGTAGCCATCAGACAGGACAGCTCTTTTGTTCCACACAGGGAAACCTCCTTTGTGCATACCGTATGGAACAAAAACATTGGCCTGCAAGATGGCAGCCATGCAAACCCACTTATCGATAATACAACCCCACGGAGCCATTGTGCACTGTCTGCTTGTCTCACTGAAATCTATACAAGACGAGGTGGCGCCCCGTTAGAGGGACATAGTTTCAGATTATTCTCACCGGAAGGAAATTTCATCACAATTGTTAATACTGCACCAATTTATTTCTACATGCGATCTACTGTCATACATGCTAGGCCTAAAGTGTGAAGATAAATATACGCACAGAGCAGGAAGTAATAGCATTACATGTATGGGGACTTGGCGTAGTATTACTCGATGTGAGTCCCACCATAATCACATTGCGTTGTGAAACTCTATGTAAACACAGGACATACAGCCATAATTGTAATGCACTACACAATCTGTGTTGAAACCCTTACTGAGCGCTTTGCTTTATCTAATTAATACCTTACATTATGATGACTCAGTTCTTATTGTACGCGGTTATAATGCACAACCCCACTACAAATAGTACTCTATTCGTGTATTTTAGTTTTAAAATGTAATTAATATTACATGTTTGTTTCTTAAATGCATTTAATAATGGTAAATGGATTTACTTA